TCTATTATCATTCACACAAGTAAATTGCGGACTATTATTCACAACAGTAAGGCCAATGGAATCCATCCATTGCTTCATTAAAATGTCTCTATTATTAGTAATTGAGTCTCGCCAACTCGTCGAACGAGCATTAAAGTCTCCAACTACAATAATCTTATCAAATAAATAATCACTGAATAAGTAATATAATTCGTCTAAAGATACACTTCTTCCAGATTCTTCCAGAGTCTTGCTAGGTGAGAAATAGCAACTGATCATTAATGTTACGTCCAGCCCGAGGTAAATATTTTTTTTAAATGGATGGGGCTTGGAAGAACGCCTCTCGCAGGTGGGCGCGCTGAGGCGTCCCTACGAGTCGGACACACTGTGCTGAGCCACGAGTGCGAGTCAACGTCTTGAAAAAGACGCTATGACTTCGACTGCGTGACGTGCGTCCGTAATTTAGGCAAGAGAATTTAATCTCTTTTGCCAGGGACAGGACCATGCGCGAATCTTGGGATAACGAGCAATGAAAGAGGGAGCAAATAACTAAAACGATAAATAATTTAAATTTTACATGTAATTAATAATTTTAAACGATTACAAGGTTAGCTAGCTACAAGATCGTGTCATTATTTCTTGCGTTGAAATACATTTACTGACGATATATTTATATTTGAAAAAATAATAAAACAAGAAGGGTGTACGTACAGAAATTCATATAATATAAATGTTCTAAAAATTGACGGATGTATTGTTTGGTTTCTGTGTACAAATTCTATTAGTTTAGTATTTTTAATCTGTTATTAATCTATTTAAATTTATATTTTGTTATCTGTGTGTGGTTGTTTCGGAGAGGAGGTCGGGTTTTCGATAGTGAGGTCTAGGGGAGGAGGGGAAGGAGTCCGGAGTTCGCAGAACTCATCCAAGGATTTCTGGGTGCGGAAATCTAGATATATCTGGAGGTTAGTGTCATGGCGCTCTGAGAAGAATACGCTGAAATCTGGGGGTGATCCAGATTCAGATGGTTTGATCGGGGAATAAGACGGAGGAGATATGTATAAATAATGGGGTCGCCTGCTGGAACAACTCGTGGTTTCTTCATGTGTTAAAACCTCGGATGTCCTAGACGAGGGATAGTTCCCTGATTGACGAGCTCGCTTGTTGCGACGGTAACGGAGCCTCTTCAGGGCTCGCCTCCGTCTCCGAGCGTCGGAAAGAGTGGATGATGCAGCTTTCACTAGAAGAAATGGATTTGGAATATGAAGGAAATGTCATTAGTCGTGAATCTTAAGGCTATCTCTGAAATATTTCAGGAAACCGAAAGATCCGACAGAGGAGAGAAATTAAAAAGGGAAAGAGAAAATTGTAAGAAAGGAAAGAAAAAGAAAAGAATAGATTTCTCGAATTACTCGGCAGCCATGAACCTGCTGAGTACTCCGCAACGCATAGGGAGCCCGAGAGGTTCGACGGCTGAAGCCAACAGAGAAGAAGTAGATTTTGTCGAATTATTCGGCAGCCATGAACCTGCTGAATGCTCCGCAACGCATAGGGAGCCCGAGAGGTCCGACGGCCCAAGCAAAGAAAGAAAGAGAAAAGAAAAAGAAAAAGGGAGTAGAAGTGTAAGGAGAACAGCAGAGGGTAGAAAGAATGTAAGGGAGGAATGAGGAAGTATAAGGAGAAGAGACCCGAAAACTATTATTAGAGAATTTTTCTATGTGTAATTAAACTTACTATTACTCTGGAATGCCGGAGACTTGGGACTTGCGAGATGATGAAGGCGGTAACGGTGTCACCAGGAAACTTCACGATCACTTGTACTTGTACTTGGTGAAATTGTTGATTATTTTCGACTAACACCGACTAATTGAATTATTAACAACTGATAAACTGAAAATGTTCTGACCGCGTGAAAAAAGAAGTAGCAGTGTATGTTCCGTGCCTTTAAGGGCACTATATATATATATGATTTCGTTGAGGAAAACATCTGTACACGTGTTGTTTTTCCGCGATTAGGATAATAGGAATTATCCGCTTAGTCAAATTCTTAGTAACCGACTCCCGGAAGAGATCAATTGCGTAACCGTCGCGATCGTAACAGAACATGTGTCATCCGTTTATCTGCTTAACTAAATTCTAATAACTGATATCTGAAAGAGAAGAATCGTGCAGTCGTCAAGATGTAACATCGGTGTACTTCCGCGATTAGGATAATAGGGATTATCCGCTTAGCCGAATTCTAGAAACCGATCCCCGGAAAAGATCAGTTGCGTAACCGTCGCGATCTAACAGAGTAACAGAACATGTGTCACTCGTTTATCCGCTTAATTAAATTCTAATAACAGATACCCGAAAGAGAAGAATCATGCAGTCGTCACGACGTAACAATTAAGCAATCATTTATATTCATTGCTATATATCCATCACCACATTTAACTCTAGAAAAAGTAAATATAGACTCAGAATTCAGAACGAGAATAGCACATTTCGCATCATTAGATAAAAATCAATCGCCTCTATCATCGGTCTTATATGGTTCCGATATAAAAATTACATTAACATTAAATTCTTTGGTATATTGGAACATCAAGTCGTGCCCTTTTCTACAATGATTCAGATTTATTTATAGAGACCTAAAGCTCATTAGTATCCATATTAGTATCTACATTAGATGTATCCACGAGTTTATGAATCGGCTTAATTTTATCAGGGTGTTTTAACGCATGACATTTATTTGTGCCGAGTTTATAATCCGATTGCAGACCTGCCTCAAAACACAAAACACATTTAGGGTCTTTGTCACAAGTACTAGCTTGATGTCCCTTCTCTCTTTGTCACAAGTACTAGCTTAATGGCCCTTCTCTCCACACACAATTATAACATGACCTGGATCTGTTTATTGTACTTTTACAGGTGCGACTTAGATGACCGAATCCTAAACATCTATAACATTGTATAGGTCTCTCTTCTTGTAATTCAACTTTAACTTCCGTCCATCCTAGACTCATGATTCCTTCTCTGGTTAATTTAATTGCAGTTGCTAATGGGCAACGTATCCATACGATTGAAAGTTTATTATTCATCCTTCTAGCTTGATTAATTTCATGGTGTTTACATTTGCCTTACGTCGAAACAACAGCTGTTACTTCTTCTCTTTTAATTGAGTTATCAACTCCTAAAATTTTAATGCTCGTCATTTTGATAGGACGCGAAATTTTAACGCTCGGACTAACTAACTGCCTAGCCTTAGCCGCGAGTTTATCCGCCTTTTCGGCATTATTTTCTCCATGGACTTCAAGAAACAAATCGCCAGATTGGGTATATCTGGTCCTAATGCGCTCAATACTAAATTCAGATAATGATATCATTTCGCGTATTTTATATTTTATATATTTCATCACAAGACTTACCGTCCGAAGTCTTAATTATGGCTGTCGTCCTTGGAGGTCTGCGTTTGTCTCCCGGGATTCCCCTTCTCCTTGATGAGTTCGACGGAGCAATAACATCCTTTATCTTAATATCCTTGCGTCTTTCTTTCCTTTCCTCACTAGGGGTTCCCTTCTCTCTTCTCCCCTGACTAGAGAGGAGCGAAGAAGTGAATCTCTCACTTCCTTTTTTCCTTTCCTTTTCCTCCTTCTCCTGCTGACTTGAACCCATTCCGCTTCAGTATCTGTTGCCGTTACGGCTAACGTCTCCGATATCGAGGGGTCAGTTTCCCTTACAGATTTCTTCCAATGATGGCCACTCTTTCTCAGTTCTAAGTTTCCTATTAATATCTCTAATGTTATTCTTTTGTTTTACAGGTAAAGGAGTTCCTGAGTCCACATCGCTATGGATGTCATCCGTCACAAGTAAGTGAACACCATATACATTATTTAAAGAGCGTATAACGTTTTCTGTTATTAATGATATTAACTCTTTTTTATCTATTTCCTGTTTCCTAGCCTTATCTTTTTTCTTGCTAGTAAGAGCACACACTTCATTGTAATTTGGACTTCTTCTCTTAGGGGGAGAACCCGGGGGTGAAAGCATCTTGGACGATGTGGAAGGAGCTATTAGCTTTTCGTAGTACTCCCTTGTTTTTTATTTTCAAGCTTTAACTGCTTGTTATCTTCCTTTAAACGAGCTATTTCCTCTTTCAGGAATTTAATCTCCCTCGCCATATTGGAAGCCGATTGCCTGACTCTATCGTCAGTTCCACCGGCCTCAGCACGTTCAAAAAGAACACAAGTAATTTCTTTGATCTTGTCAAGACTCTTCTTCATTCTGCCACTAAATTTCCCCTGGATCCTCGAGGATTTAGATCGCATCTCATCCATATAATTAGCCAACTCAACAGCCCAGGAACCCAGGCGGTAAGGCGCATGAATAGGCGGCCGGCTGAGACAGCTATTCACGTGCTGTCTCAGAGCTGGCCACTTCTCCTCCCGATGGAAGAGGGCCAACTTGGTTCTTCTCCGGAAGGAGGAGAAGCCTGAGAACTCCCCGTTCGTATACAGGCCCATTTGCCTGCCAGACGAGGTGGGAAAGCTGTTCGAGCGAATAATCGCCGCCCGTCTCGTTCGGTACTTGTCCCTGGATGGTCCCAACTTATCGGGGGATCAGTTTGGATTCCAAGAGCCGATCCACGATTGACGCGATTCAGCGCGTTCGAGCCCTCTCGGACCAAATCGTTGATGGGGGGGGGAGTGATGGCGGTTGCGGTGTCCTTGGACATCGTCAACGCATTTAACTCCCTCTCCTGGGAAAGGATTGGGGAGGCGATGAATTATTATCGCCTTCTCCCATATATGAAGGAGGTCATCTGGGACTACTCAGGGACAGGACGATCGGGTTCCGCGACAAAGCGGGACTCTATCGCGGGCGGGGAGTATATTGCGGGGTCCCGCAGAGATCGGTGCTTGGGTCGCTCCTGTGGGACCTGGCATATGATAGGGTGCTTCGCATGGCACTCCCCCCTGGCTGCCACGTTATGTGTTACGCGGATGATACGTTGGTGATGGCTGGGGGGGATGATTGGGATGGGGCCGCTAGTCATGACCAATATGGCTGTGGCTAGCGTCGCAAGAGCGATCGCGGCGATGGGGCTGGAGGTGGCGCCCCACAAAACGGAAGCAATATTCCTGTATAAGAGAAGACGTGGGGTGCCGCCTCCGGCATTCGTGCGGATAGGGTCAGCCCGCGTTGGGGAGGGACCGAACCTAAAATATCTCGGTCTCATCCTGGATGGACATTGAGGGTTCAAGACTCATTTTAGGTCTTTGACCCCCAGGTTGGATAGGATGATGAACGCGCTGTGTCGTCTCTTGCCCAATCTCGGTGGTCCGGGCGCCGCTGTGCGGCGCCTATATGTGAACACCGTCCTGTCGGTGCTTCTGTATGGGGCACCGGTTTGGGCGATCGCAATGGCGGCCAGCCGCTACATAAGGGCGATGGCAAACGCGGTTCAGCGCCGTATGGCCGCCAGGGTCGCCCATGCATATAGGACGGTGTCACACGCGGCGGTCACGGTCCTCGCTGAGGTCCCTCCTGTGGATCTCATGGCCCTGAAGCGCGCTGAAGTCTATCGGCGCACCAGGGCGCTGAGG